TTTTTGGTGGTATTTCGTCGTATTTTTACGTCTTGCCGCGAGACAAGATATCCTTGCCTCCTCCATTCAATGATTATTTTCTCTTTTGAACAGAAGACAACTTTTAATTCCAGAGTTCAGCACATTATTCTATATTTAGACATTTTCGTAAAGAATTTTAACATTCGTGAGAGGTCAGATCTGAGGTTTTGTTTGCACTGTACGTCTTTATTAAACTCTAAAGCAGATTGTACTTTTTCTAAAGGAAATTTTTTTTTTTTTTTTTGCAGAACCTTGAAAATGAAGTGAGACATCTGACGGAAGAGGTTAAGCTCAGCCAGGCTCTGCTAGCCGGATCTTCCAGGTTAAAACGTGAAGACCAGGTGCTGCTGGAAGACAATCTGAACTGCCTTAAAGAGAGATTAGGAACTATTGGTGATGCTCTGGCTCAACGACTTGACCACATGAGGACCCGAGCACATGAGCTCACTGCCTACCAGGTTTAGCTTTGATATATTTATGTTTTTTATGCTTCTTTGATTAGTAGCCCTGTTATTGCACATGGTAGCAGTCAATCATAAGTCATATTTCATCTTTAAACAGACTGAGCTGCAGCTTCTCCAAACTGCTTTAATTGAGACCAAATGCCAGATCCTCCAAGCCCTAGCCGGAGCAATGGATAGACCAGCTTCGAAGCAAATGGAGGTAATGAATTTAAAGTACCATGCTCTCATTATGAAAGGCAAAAATACTCCAAGAAAAAGAGAAAAATAGGCCATTCCCATCTTCCAGGTCATTGCAAGTGCCGAGGAAACCTTGAAAGATTTTGAGCAGAGAATCACAGAGCTGAAAACCAGAGGAGCAGCACTGCAGGCAGATCAGATTTCAGCAAACAAATTGCTTAAACTGCAGGTAAATGATGATGCCGATTATATTCAAGTATATTCTGAGCTGCTTCAAATCAGTTTTTCCCTTTTTGTTCTGTATTGAATTACTATTATTTTAATGGCAAACAAAGAATCAACAAAACAGCATTTTTTTTTTCTGCATGTAGGATTCATATGAGGAGCTATTGATGACGGTGGGTTCGAGACGCGGCGGGCTGAACCAAAACATCGCTCTGAAGGAGCAGTATGAGCGTGCTCTGCAGGACTTGACTGACCTGGTTGACACAGCAAAGGACAAAATGGCGGCTGATCAGAGAATTGTCGTTAGCTCTGTGGAGGAGGTGCAAAGTCATCTTGACAAGCATAAGGTAGTTTCAGTTTTACAGTGATTAGTATTTATAAACCCTGCTTTTTCCCACCTTAACATGTTAATATCACAAAATTTGATGCATATTTGGGGAAACTTACATGAAAAACTAAATATTTCATAGTTGTGAAGTAGAAGGAAAAGGGTTCATGATGTTTGGTATTTCTGTAGGCGTTTATTTCAATGTAATTTAGTTTTATTCTGCAGCATCTTATAGATCCATGTTTGGCTGTAGTATTTAGTATTTAGGGATTATACATGAATTGAATACAATTTAATTACAAAATGTAGTGAATAATTCAATAATAAAAGTAACTATATTATGCACATAGCGGTTATAAAGTACTCACTACAATCTTCATGTTGTCATAAGCTATGTTTTTGTCTCATGTAAAACTGGATTAAATATATTTAAGGTTATGTTCTAAAATGACAAAATGTTCCAGTGGAGTGAATAATACCTACAGTCATTGTTAGAGAGGAAGCCTTGGTGAATTAGAAAAAAAAATCAGCTCATTGAATTGTTTGTTATCCTGTTTTTAGGAGTTTTTCCAGGGTCTAGAGTCCCACATGATTCTAACAGAGACCTACTTTAGAAAGATCAGTTGCCTCATGCTTCCCAAAGAAAACCAAACCTTGGAGGAAACGCTTGCTGAGACCCGGCGGGTCCTTAAAGAAGCACACAGTAAAGGTGTTGAGCTGGAAAGTATCCTGGAGGTGAGAAAAATGCTATTTTTTTTACCTTTATGAAAACAAATATCAAAACATAAGCAATCATATTTTATATTCTGCCACTCAGATTGTATTTGTTAATGGTTACCTTTCCTGTCTCTCCTTTTTCTAACAGACTTGGTGCCGTTTAGTGCAGGACTACCAGAATCTGAACCGGCAGCTAGAAGCAGTTGAAGGCAGCATCCCTTCTGCTGGTCTGGTGGAAGAAACTGAAGACAGATTAATGGACAGAATCTCCTTGTATCAGGTGCAGCATATCAGTTTCATTTTAAGGGAACAACATGCTCCTATTTAATGTGTTAGTTGACCTGGTTACTTTAATATAATTAATTTAAATTGCCAGTTGCCTTTTAAAATAAAAAACACTGTTCATCTATTCAGTCGTTTACTAGAACTTAATTTTGCAGATTAACGATTTAAGCACATTCGGGGTTGATTTGATTTTGCTCATATCCTTTCCAGTTTCCACCCATCAATAAAAGAAAAATGTTTTTGTTTCCGTGGTTCCACTTGTTATAGGGTCTAAAGGGAAGACTGACAGAGCACCAACACAAGCTCCACCAGGTGCTGGATGATGGTAGACATCTGTTACAGTCAGTTAGCTGTCCAACACTGGAGAATCAGCTGGCGCTGTTAGGGGAACACTGGCTTAACAATACAACCAAGATCAACAAGGAACTGCAGCGCCTGGAGGCAATCCTGAAACACTGGACCAGGTCAGAAACACTTTGAACAGTTTTTAACGAACTCACCAGACTTGGATATCGTCATTAACGTAGGGTATTTCATTTTTATCTGAATGTTGTTTTCTGTAGGTATCAAAAGGAGTGTGTGGAGATCAGTGAGTGGCTCCAGTCTGCCCTGGAACGTCTGGAGTTTTGGAGCATGCAGGCCGTCTTAGTCCCACAGGAGCTGGAAACTGTCAGGGACCATCTAGCTGCCTTTCTTGTAAGGCCAAATAAATTCACTTTTTCATAAATTGCGCAACTATATCTATATATTTACATTAGAAATATCAAAAACACCCTCAATTCAATTCAATTCAGTTTATTTATATAGCGCCAAATTCACAACACGTCATCTCAAGGCACTTTACAGTTCAACCAGATCATACAATCAAATTGATAAAAAGTTTTCTATCTAAGGAAAACCAGTTGATTGCATCGACTCATTGACTCAAATACAATCCCCCACACTAAGCATGCTTGTAGAGACAGTGGAGAGGAAAAAAAACTCCCTTTTAACAGGAAGAAACCTCCAGC